CATTTCTTACTTAATGGAAACACTGCAGTTGTGAAACTGTTTTTCTACATTAACAGAATATCAACAGTTTTGCGCACATTTGCGATGGAAACACAGCAACTGATTTTCTCACTTTTACAGTGGATTGCATCAACTCTGTTACATCCAGAAGGGAAACTTCACCAAAGTGAAACATAAATCTGTGGATCTGTGTTTGATTACTCTGCCTGGCTTTCTCAAGGACCAGGATGTGACACAAACATCTGAATTATGGAACTGAAAGTGAAAGTAGTCAAACTGAATTTTTAATAAACCAAAATACAGTTTCAAAGACAATTAATTCAGTTTCAAATCATTAAATTCAGTTTCAATTTAGTGAAATTCATTTTCAAATCAATGCGTTCAATTTCAAATTATACACATTCAGATTAAAACTGAGCAATTCAAATTCAGTTCCTGCTGGCACAAGATTTATCCCACAGAGGTGTCCGTCCACAGAACAAAGCAGACTAAATATTACCGGCAGCAGAGACGATGGAGGCGTCTCAAAGCAGAAACACGTCTTAAAGACGTTGGTTTATTTAAAAGTCTCACATCGGCTCAGCAGGACGGACAAACAGCAGAAGTACCTTCAGCGTTGRGGCTTTGTGCTTTATTCTGTGTGTTTTTATACTGAGGACATGCTGTTGGACGTGAGGACCTGTCCCTCGGGGCTCAGCTTGTCTTTGGGACTGGACTTGTCCAGGACGGAGATCTGAGTGATGGTGCTGCTTTCAGTGAACAGCGTCCGCCGCCGCTTGCTGTAGCTCAGGTAGCTCTGAGTCTGCCACTTCCAGAAGCGCTTCTTCAGCTCAGCCTGCACCTGAAACACACACGAACATGAAACACGCACACATAAATAAAACACACACACACATAAATAAAACACACACACACATAAATAAAACACACACACACACAAATAAAACACACGTGCACACAAAACCAGCTGAACAAGATAAAAAGTGTTTCTGCAGGTTCGTCCAGCAGAGGTCACTGTTCACTGATTCCTCACCTCTCCGTTCAGGAAGCAGTACAGCAGGGCCACGACGAAGCCCTTCAAACGGCAGAGACATGATACGTGATCATTCAAAATAAAAATGTTTCTTTATTTTTACKAACATTTGTTCCTGACGCACCTGGAAGGAGCCCAGACCGAGCTCGATGAAGATCCGAGCCTCCGCTCCCGTGTGTTCTGGCAGGAAGGCGAAGACCATGTAGTGCATCCCGAACAGGGGGATGAGCAGCAGAGTGGACTTGGCCAGTCTCCTACACACACACACACACACACACACACACACACACACACACACACAC